ATTTGAGGTGGTAATAATTATTGCCACACCCTGTATAATAAAAAATAATAATACAGTTTAAAAAAATTCCCAAAAATGAGTTAAATTTTAGACGGTCACACTGCTATAGCCCTTTAATTTCTCGATTTTAATTTTAGATTTTTCAATAATTTATAGATTGCCAAAATGTGCATTTTTGGGTGTATAGTCCATTTCTCTGCCTCTCTGGTTACGTCAATATTCACGGTGTCCGGTCTCTTATGAAGAAAAAAAATGCTGACGGTGTGCGAATAAACGTCGAAGCAGTAAAAATTCTAGGATAAGATCGCAGTACGTCGAGTACGATCGCAGGAAGAGTAACAGCTACGAGAATAGTGCAAAAACAGTACGAGCACGGTGCACAGTTCCCGCAGACTAGCCACAGGACTTTATTCCCGCAGATAAGATCGTACGGATTCTTTAATTATTCGAACTAGCTTCAATAAATAAATGCGATTTATAGAATCTTTATACGATCTTACAGCGTCGATTTAAGAAAATACTGAATGTCTTCAACTTGAGGCTAAATCTATCTAAATATTTATCTAACAGCACAATCAAAAAATTGGTTGTATAATACAGTATGCATTGTTTCCAACAGACAGTATCTTCTTCCTAAAGCTAGAAAACATTGTACAATATTTATAGTAGAATAAAAAAGAAAAAACAGTGATACATTCATCGGATGTACAGTGGCACCCATTAATACTCGGACACACTTCAAAATAGAATTAGTTCTTCAATATTAGATCAAACAACTTCATTTTCTTTGGGATACTTACTACGTAAAAATTGAAAGAAACTCTTTGAAGAAAATTAATTCGTTTACCAATGGCGGATTAAGATCATTGGGGGCCCTAAGCGGTAAAAATTTCCAGGCCTGGCCCCCAAAAAAAAATTTGGAGGTAACTCTCATTATGTTACAAATAAAAAGGAAAAGTAATTAAAAAATTTTGGACAGGTTCATTTTCGAATTTAATCCCCCCCCCCCTCCTCCCCTATGGGACGTGGGCCCCACGCGGCCGCTTAGCCCGCTTACCGCTTAATCCGCCCCTATCGTTTACTGCAATATTAAAAATGTCACCCCATTTTGATTTGTCAGAATATTAATAGGTATATGTATAATATGTATAATAGAAAGAAATGTACATACGTAATGTGGTTGACACAGAATACGTCCGATGCACAAGAGACGGTTGCATGCAAGTGCACGAGACAGTGCAAGATCGTTCCACTCGTTGGAAGGGTTTCGCGATCGTGCATCAAAATCATCACAGTACACAGATGAAAAGATTGCGCGGAAAAAGAGAGACAGAGCAGTCTAGCGTTCTTCTTTATATAGTAAATAATTCTATATAGTGGCCTGATCTTCGATCGCGTCTGTTTCCTCGCGTTACATGTACTATTCTCGCGATCTCGAGAGTGTAAGACCGTTTCGCGCAGCTTAGAAGGTGGTGGGTCGCAGCGAACTCCCTCCACGCGATTCAGTATGCACGGTAAAGCATTGAGATGCGCAGAACGATCACAAACTGAACTGTACCCAGTCCTAGACTCTCGATACCGCGAGTATAGGAGACCGTGTACTTTCGATACGTGCGAGGTATATAAAGGGATGAGGTATAGTATGTATGATCGAGTGACCATGGGTTGATCATACTCACGCTATCTTCTCGCTGGGCGACCTCCACGGCACGTCGTCGTCCATTTCGTCCTCGGATTCGTCGCCTTCGTGGTCCAACGATTCCTGGCCAGGTAGGTGCAACGTCGAGCTCGTTAGCATGTCCGGGACTGGTAAAATACTCGGACGTCTGCTTC